TTAAATAAAAAAGTAGATTTCAAGCCCATTTATTTATTATTTATTTCATGGTAGGAGAGCTTCTCAAACAATATAGAGGCAATTTTTTCGATTTAAGTTGTTAAAAATTAATGAATATCTAAATCCCGGGACTAATCTCGGAATCCCGGGATTGTGATAACGAAATCCCGAAAATCCCGGGATTGTAAAATGAACATCCCTAGTGTACATGCACACACGCAATCGTTGTTCAAGCCGCACGTGTTATCCGTATGAATGCAATACATTGTTCATGATTTTGCTAATTCATGTAGCTGCAATTTTTTTTACAGATTTGTTGAAGCTACGTGGCTACTCTTCAGTGAAATTTAAATAAATTATGTACGTAAGTACGTAAATGTAAATGAATATGAAATTTAATTAAGAGCAGAGGGCCTTTGGTATTTACACATTTCTAGCCTTTAGTTATAACTTTTTTAAGGAAATTAACTACTATAGTTAATGAGTATCCCGTTCACAATTTCCAGGGAATTTCTTGCTTTGCTTAAACGAAAATATTGATTGTAGTAAAGTTGAAAGGCCGATATAACTACTGTATTTGAATTATATGTACATACACACTGGAGCTGGGTATCATAATTGTATCGTATGGTGTGTCTGAAGAAATAAATTCAGCAGCGATGAATTTCAATTCGAAATTTCATTTGGAAATTTTCGCACATGAATACGAATTTGCTGTTGTCGATTTTAATTGTATTTTATAGTGTATTTCCACGAACTCAAAACAGCGTACATCATTCTCAATTTCAGCTGTAAGTGCGATAAGTCCTAATTTGGTCATAGAAAAAAGTGTTAGTGTAAATTGTGTGCGGGTTCAAATTTGGACAAAATACAGAAAATTTGTTTTCAATTTCATGAATGCGACTTCAAAATTTTCTTGATGTAATTGATTTTTAAGCAAGACAAACAAAAAATAACATTAATTTAAGAAAATAAAATTAGACAGCTTTTGGAGAAAGCCTTTCAGCTTTTCTTTTGATTTAACCAAATAACCCCGGCAATCAAAACAAAAAAGGGTGGTGTGTTCTTTTAACCAGATTTACCTACTCACGTGTATTTCTACCCGATGAATCCGAATCTGAGGTTCGTTTTACGAAGTTAACCGTCAAAATTTAGTAAAAATTGCGATTTTTTTGTAATTTTTTCGGGTTTTCGGAATTTGCTGGAAATTCAGCCGATGCACCGGCACAAAGAAAAAACTTGTCTGCGCATCTAACCAGACCCAGCTATCGACATGTGTTTCGACCCGCTGAATCCGAATCTGACGTCCACTTGATTCATACACCGTCAAAATTTAGCAACATTTTATTTTTTTTATCTTTTTTGTTGTAATTTTCGCAAAATACTCAAAATTTTGAAGTTGTACGAGTCAAACGGGCCTCAGATTCGGATTCAGCGGGTCAAAATACATGTCGGTGGATGGGTCTAGTTAAAAGCGAACACTACTTTTTTTAGTGTGCCGGTGTAATCAGCGCAGCAACAAACGAAATCATGCGCCTCAGCATAACAGAAATTGATATTGAAATTGTGATCAATCGTCCAGTAGCATTCTAGTTCACAACTAGTANGTAATAATAATAGCTATGATACTTGGTAATGGTAATGGTATTTGGTAATAGTGATGATAATTGGTAATGGTAATAAGACTAGGTAATGGTAAATTTAATGGTAATGGTTATTAGTATTGGTAATTGTAATTGGCAATGGTAATGGTAATTTGTAGTGGTAATTCGTAATTGGTAATAGTAATTCCAATGTTACTTAATAAATGATAATGGTATTGTTAATTAGTAATTGGTAATGATAAAGGTATTTGGTAATGGTGGTGAACGAAAGATAGCGATTAAGTTGGTGGGTGCCAAATAGATTACTTATTTAACTTCAAAATGAAAGAATTATAATAAATACATACAAATCGGTTCTTGATCTTTACAAAATTTGTAGTTTAAGGTACCATACAATAATCTTTTGATTTTCAGTGGGGCTTTCCAGCTAAAATTTCTCAGCGCCCTGTGCCAGCCCAACTTTCTGCCTAAAACAAGTTAAGCTTAAAATCCAGCTGTAAGCGCTGTGTTTATTTAACTTTATGTATTTCTTTTAATTTTTTTTGTATTGCATGTACTTTTTTAAATATTGACAATGCGAAAAAAATCTACAAAAACCACTGTAGGTAAATAACAAAAATCGAACGAACGTGACTGATGCTAAGGGTCTTTAGGGCCTATCATACATATGTACTTACATACACGCAAACGTAATACAGACAAACATTTACACGAACACTGCTCTGTTATACCAGGAAATTGTTTCAAAAGCATTCAGAACGATTCAATTTCAATGGAATTGGCACTCGGACAAATTGATAAGCCACATTCGAGATTATATGATTCGATTAAAAAGTTTGTTTTTCTCTCTTTATTAACAGTGAATTATAGCATCTATGTACTATGTGTAGGAGAATGTATTGTGGATTGTATTTACACTATCACTTTTCCAAAACTAAAATATTGGAAAAAACAGCACAAATATACATACTCGCTTATTTTTAAATTAAATGGATTCTGATTGTTTAGGCACTAAATATTTATCTCCTAATTATGTCGTATTTAAATATCAGTTTTGTTTTCATTACATAAAATTAATTTATTTACAGCTTATTTACTATGTATGTTGGCTAATGTCAATTTTAACACTAACTATTCTTCCATTTCGGTATTCTCTCATCCTATCAATCGCTATCTCCAAAGTTGACACTTTCGTTCCGGGTGCATGCGACTGCCCAGCGGGCAATCATAAACGCGGCCAAACTCCGCGAAATTCGCCAGCGCATCCAAGACGCGCTCCTTATCCGAGCCATGCTCGCTGAACTCTAAGTCGCGTGCGCCGGTCGCCGGCGAACCACAGAAGAACTGTGCGAAATTAAGGAAGAACACATGCTCCGGCGAGAGGCTGGTAAAGTGCAGCGGACGGGCATTGGCATTGTTGCTGCTGCTGCTGGAGTTGCCCTTGAAATAAGCCTCGTACGCCCAGCGTAGGCCACTAACGTCTGCGATTTTCTCATCGACAATTTGCGGATTACGCGAACGTAAGCAATTCAAATTTGAGTCGAATCTGCGGTTCGCTTTAATGCGTTGCGAAGGTCCACGCATATTGCCGCGCTTGTCAAACTCGACGCCACTATCATCGAAGCCGTGTGTGATCTCGTGCGACAGCAGAAAGCCCAGCGAACTGTATTTGAAGATTTCATGCAGCTGTGGATGGTAGATGGGCGTGTGGAGGAGTGTAAGTGGCACGATGACCACATTGGAGCGCAGCAGGTAGTAGGGTGAGGAGCTAGCACCAGTTTCGGGGTCTTCCAGATGAAAGTATGAGTCATCTTGCGCGAGCAGTTCCGTTAGGCGCTTGTGCTTGGCGCGTGTGAAGTGTTGCAGTAAACGCAAGTGATTGGCGAAAAATTCCTTTGGCTCGATTACGAGATCTGCATAGAATGCCTCCACTTGGCGACTGGTAGCAGGACGTGGCAAATTACCGACCTTGATGCGCATTGTGTCTATTTTATCCTGCAAGAAACGCAAAACGTGTGAGTCGAACTGATTTGCATTGTTTTGCAAGGTTTGCGTGAAATGTTGCAACAGTTTGCGGAAGAGCAGCTCAATGTGCGACTTTTCGTCGATGAGCTCCGGATTTTGGCGTTCATAGAGCCAAGTCATGGCGAGCGGCATCATGCTGCGCGTATGTGAGACACAGTCACCTTTGAGAAAATTGCGTGGCCCATCAACGTTCAGATACCAGAGAAAGCGCAACATCAAGTAGCGACAAATGAATTCGGATTCATGCTCGTCCAGCACGGTGAGTAGTAGTCTCATATAAGGGAGATTTTGTATGGTCAGCTTCATGTACGGATCCACGGGTTGTTCGAGCACGATGTCCAAGTAGCGCGTTAAAAAAGGCATATTCAATTCCGCTAGCGTGGTTTCGCGCTGCGCCGATGCACTCTCCTCGCCCTCCTCCGTCGTATCCTCCACAAAATCCAAACTCTTCAGCTTACCTTCAAACACATGCACTTCCTCCCATAGGCTGTCCTTGCCTTGCTGATCGCTCACACCCAAATATTCCATAATCAGCTCAAAGCCCTTATGCGGCATTGGCTGGAAGCCGCCATTCAGCACGGGCTTGTCCAAATCTATGGCCGAAGCACGCGCATTGTCACGCCGCTGTATCACGGTCTCCTCAATGAAAACCGCATTCATGCCATACCTACGCAGCACCGCCAGCATGTACAGCCAGTCGTAGCGCACTGCTTTGCCGCGTCGCTTGGCCGCGCGGCGTGTAGCACCTGTGCTCGGCAGCACCGGCGGCCATACCAGCTGTTCATGCTCTTGCAGCCAGTCCAGATATAGCTGCGGTGTGTACGCGTACACTGTCAAGCAGGACTTATAGTAGTCGAGTAGCTTGCGCATAAAGGCGTGTTCCTCACGCATACGGCGTCGTCGGCGGATGCTGTGCAATAATTGCGCATATTCCTGATCGACTTTGTAGTCAATGAGGCCAATTGTTTCGAAATATTCGGCGTCCGCGTGCACATACTGCCAATTACCGCACGCATACTGATAATAGTCGGCGCAGGGGTCCGCACTCGGATCCATATAACGTTCGATTGTCTTCAGCTGCTGGCGATTCATGCTGCGCGCTGCGCTAGCGGTGGACAGAATGGAGAACAACGGCCATTGGCTAAGGTAAAGCAGCAGTAAAATGCTGTTACGTATGCACATTTTTAATAATTGTAAATAATGAAATATTTATAACACCTCACTAAATCCGCGCGTAGAAAAAAAATCCATAAATAAAGTTCAGAAAATTGTAGCCGTTGTGTCCTGTTGTAGATGCGCGCGTTAACCGCCCGCTTATAACAACCTGATAGTGTCTCGTCCAGCAGTGAACTGTACGAACAATGCGCGCTCCGATTATGCGGCCTTGTTTTGTTTACGATCAGTAATCAATTCGCGCTCTGCTGTCTCAGCGTCTCATTAGGCAGCGTTTTCCGATTGCACGCATTGCTGGAAGCTACATATCAATGCTGCATATTAATTACATTCTGAATAAATAAATGCTTGTAGCAATGAAGAGGCATATGCTGATCTTTGCATTCGCTACTTGAATAGCTTGGCGATTGCCAATGAATTAAGCGCTTCTTTCTTGCTATTCATTCCATCGTTGTTGTGCATGATTTCGCAATCGCCGTCTAGGTACTCGCTCGCGCTCTAGTCATTGTAGAAAAATGTGAGTGTGAACGGGCGTGAGCAGTCGCGCCAACTCGTCACGCTCAATTGATAAGCGATTTTCATGGAAGAGAATTCTTGACTGGTGTTTTTGTTTTATATGGAAGTATTCTTTTTTTTCTAATTGTAATTTTTTAATTTCATTTTATGTATTATTGGAGCTTCCCCAGCGCAGAAAGCGTGGGATGCTATGCGCATATAGATTTAAAGATTGCGTTTTTTACTACAATTAGTTGTGTCTCCACGCACATTAAGTTGGTTCTTATGTTATAGAATTTTTTTGGCATCTAGATTGCAACTGAGAAATGGTGATCTTAAAAGCTAAAAAGGCCAACAAACCCACTACTAAAGTCCAGCAACCTCCGCTACACCAAAATTTGGCAAACCTACACTTGTAAGAACGGAGTTTGAGTTATCGCTAGAGGCGACTTATCTATGGTAAACCCTGGTCAATGGACTCAACTGGAACTGGGACGTCTCTTAACTGCTATCAACAAAGCTAACAAGATATTTTATGCTTATACTCCATGATAAAATACAGAGAGTTAATCAATACCTTTGGCAGGTGGTCACAAGTCGGGTATACTCATGGATCCGAGCTGGGCGGTATACGCAAAAAGTAGACCAAATATGTAGAAATGTACCAATCGTGTGGCACTGCCTTAATAAGTATATAACTCCTTCTAGAGGTATCTCGGCCTTGACACCTCCCACGCGCTTCCCGACTTGACACTGCAATTTAGGATACGAATTTAGCAAGATGGAACTTTCTGTAGTAACGGAATGTACGTTCAAAGGTCAAAAAAGGTCAAAGACTTTGTCACCCTCACAAGTGCTTAATTTCATAAAAAGTTTAAGGTTGGAGTGAATTTTTATGGAATCTAGAGTCCTCCACTTTACTAAAAAGTGTAAGCGAAAGTTAGCGCAAAATATTGTCTAATAACTCCCCAAAAAATGCTACCTATATTAAACAGGACAAGTTATTGAGACTTGCGAAAGGCGCAGGTAAACCCCGAAAGGTTCTAAAAAGAATGCAGCAAAAACCATAAAAAGCTTCAAGAATATTGTGAAAAAAATTGCGAAAAGTCTTGAAATCCCGAAAATTTAATAGACGTTAAAAGTATCTGTACATACAATTAGCACAAAGCATTGGTGTTGGCTCGAAGATGTGATTTTTCTGACGGAGCCCGATAAAAGGAAGAGAAATATATTAGTAAAGTAGTTTTTACAGGGCAGGTGCAGGTAAAAATCTGTTTAGGCATACAAAGGGGACATACAAAGGGGATGCCGCTTGCCGGTAGCAAACGAAATAGGCTTTCCGTGAGCCCTTGTTTCGAATATTTTAAAGCGATAGGACTAACTTATTCGCATGTCTACGGCGAATTTTCTTTTATTTTACTTCCGCTGCCTTATATGACTGGATTGAGGCCTTCTTAAGAAAGTAGTGCATTTTACTGACTGAGTATATACACAAATATTTAAGTATACATACTAGGGTGTTTGGCTCGGTTTTTCCAAACCGGTTTCCATCGTTTTTTTTTTTTTTGATTTTTCGGAAATATATTCCAACTTGCTCGTGCTGCACTAGCAATTTTTATTTCTTCTGCAAGTGCTGTCAAACTAATCGAGTGTTGCCGTGTGGCACTGATCGTGAATTTGTGTAAAATGATAAAAAATATTGTTGAATTAAATATCAAAAATGCTTGAAATATATTATTTTGCTTAATATACTTAATCGTTAAATTATTGTTCACACGGCAAATATGTTAATTATACCCTATATTTTGTGGTTTTGATTTATGCTTATTTTTGGGTTTATGTTTTTTTGATTGATTTCGGGATTGCGAGCATTGGGCCATATGAATAAAAAATAAGCAATTGCTTTTTCTTAAATATCAGACATTTTACTCGATTTATTCAAACAAAATTGAAATTTGAAAAATTGAAATAGCAAACAAACGACAACCCCATCGCCCATGGTTGCATTTAAGTATCGAGAAAGATTGCCAGAAACTCATTCGCTGTGTGAACAGCCAAAAAGCGATTTCAGAAATTTTTCCTGCAATTCGCCTTTCGGAAATAAAAACCTCTTTCGAAAAACACTTTCCATGCAAGGTATGACTGCTCATGCAACTGATATCTCAATTTCATAGCCTTTCCGAAATTTATTGCATCGAAATATATTGCCACGTCTGACACGCTCTAAACGCGTGAATCTTCACCCTACTTATAATTGAAGCGTTTTAATGTAGCCTAGCACTTCCAGGTAGGGCTGCCAACTTTTTTTAAAGAAATGTATAGTACTTTTTCAAAAAAAATCTGAAAAAATATAGTGCACTTTAAATATATATAATATTATGTTTAAAAGAAATAGTAAAAACTCTTCAAATATACGTATTTCTTACATCTTATGCATTTCCTCTATAAAAATACACTTATTTTGTCGTGTATCCTGTGTTAGATGAAGTGAAACTGGCCGGCAGTTGGAATTTGATTTTAGTCTTTGAAGTAGACATCACAAAGGATGTCAATACAGTTTGCGAATTTCCGTAGTATTTTCAGCTCTACTTGTGCGATGTACTTTTCCTAAGTATTTTAATCGTAATTTTGAGAGTGCGGGGCATCGGCAGAGAAGATACGTCCAGGTTTCCCTCGACCCATCAAAACACTGCATCTAGCGCTAAAGGCTCAGAATAGACCTTCCTCTTCTTCGTGTAACGGACTCACACTCCAGTAGGAGGTGCAATATAGTCTCTTTGGCTGAGTCATAGCTCGCATGACCAGATCTCTAAATTATGCAAGTGGCATCTTAGCCTAAAATAGACTGAATCTCCTTGGATTGTACCCCCAAGTCCCCCCACTTTGTTATTTTCCTTTCTGAGCACTTTCTTTATCGCAAGTAACAGCTGAGCTCGTATCGTGGTCAAGGCAGTGGCCATTCTGACCAAGTGATTGGCTTCCTAATTTCCTTCGACTCCATGCCCTGGTACCCATATAAATTGGATAGCATTGTTCTCAGCTTCGCTATAAACCCCACGACCAACGATGATTTGAGATCGAAGAATGAGAGGGCAATTTGGATCCAAGATTTTCTCACTGCTTTTTAGCAGAAACGAAACTGAGACTAATCGGTCAGTAATATAAAATTAGAGTTGTTCAGGTCTCCTGCCTTCCGCAAGAGTATGTCATTAGCCTTAGTCCATCTGCATGGAATGTGACCTAGTGCCTTCGCTCTTACTCTTTAGAGTTTTGATAGAATTGCGGCTATATGTATGATTAATCCCTTGCCCAAGGCGATAAGAGTAGATTTGAATGAGCTAAAACTGGATATAGCGGATTGCACTCGTTCTACAGTAGCAAATTTGGCAGTTACGAGGCTTTGCTAAAAAGCAAAGCAAACGACAATTGTCGTATGAAAAAAAGTTCACGTCATCCAATTATAGCATCTTCTATAAAATAATTAAGTACATATCGTGGCCTGGGTAAAAGATTGTCGTATGTTACCCACGTACGTATGACGCTTACGACAATCTTTTACCCAAGCGACGATATGTATGCGCTTGCAGCAATAATTTTTTCCACGTGCAATTAATCTGCAAAATACATACATACATACATATACCTATACATATGTACGTACACATATGAAAGCTTGCGCATGCAGTTATGCATAAATAAATAGCAAATCTCTTGAGATTTATTTAGACTTTTGCAGGCGTCGTTATTGTTTGCGTAAACTAATTTTCCAGACACAGAAAGCTTAAATATTGATTAGTGACATAATGCTTGGTAGAAAATTACAGACACAGATTAGTACAAGTACAACACCAATCTCGTATGCATTTAGTATTTGCTAGTTAGTTTCAGGAAACAAGTGGTATAAGTACGTAAACGTTTTTTGCCTCGAATGGCTGCAGCTAGTGAGTGAGTAATCTAAGCCATTACAAACAGTAAATGGTAAAGATTTTATTGCTTTTGTAATTGGATGTATAATGATGCATTTTACTCGTAAGAGGTTGCCTAAGCTAACTTTGTCTGACGCACTTCATTGCAAATCTCATGCTAAGCAAGGATAAGTGAGCATACTTGAGTAATTTTCTAGTGAATGTGCACGCATTAGGACATTATCTTTCCCAAATGTGTTACACTATGCAACTATGTGTTAAACAAAATAACTGCGGATGTGTACCCACACAAATGTAGATATGTATATTTGTAGATATGTCTATGATTGGAACTTTGGAAAATTACTTGTCAAATGGCTTTAATGCCATCGATATTGTAATTGTAAATAACTTTAAGGAGCGAATGTATGTGAAATCGAAGTGTTAAATTTGGAGCAAAATGCTTGAAAAAACGTACCACGCTCAACAAATAATCTTCGCTAAACAAAAGTAAAGCTAAATTGATGGCTAATCCAACATTACGCCTTTCAAGTTATTTTGTTAGAAGAACACACGTCGAGTTTTTTCTCGAGTGTGGAGTTACGCATCCACTCAGCCAATTCACGTCAAGTCATTGTGAAATTCCAAACCCTGTAGTAACTGAGGTCCCCATATGCCACTGAATGTTTAAAAAAAAAGATCGTGAAGCAGAGCTATAAAGTTTGTTGTCGAAAAGGTGCAACAAACGACGTGAATGCAAAAGGCTTGAGGTGCAGAAAGGCAGAAAAGCAGGCCGAGAATTCGGTTGGA